TTTCACAGCTGGATAGCTGGTCAAGGCCAACATTTACTGCAGGAGAGATTCTTGTATTTGATAAAGTCGTATACCAAGTAGGAGGGGGATATAACCCTACCAAAGGAGTGTTTACGGCCCCAAAAGCTGGACTCTACCTCATCTTTTGTACTGTTGTGGCAAACGACGATAAAACATTTTGGACAAAAATAATGATCAATGGTTCAGTTAAGGCAGGAGTCATGGCTTACCTTGAATCACCTACCATACATGCCTACCAGTCAGCCTCCAGCCTTGTTGTCCACCAGTTACAGACGGGAGATAGGGTCTGGATAGAAATGTTTGTTGGTAATACTATGTACTCACAGCTTCCAGACACAACTTTTTCTGTTACTATGATAAAGTGAATAGAGTAATATCACTTAGACAAAAGTTATGGCTTATGTTGAATCGTATACTGTGAATACCTTTTTGTCAGATTCCAAACTTATTGTTTATCAATTACAGGTGGGATTCGGGGTTTGGAAAGACTTTATGTACTGCCTATATTTAGTACTCAGCTTGACACGACCTTTTCTGTGAATATGACAATCAATTAAAATAAAGGTTTTCACATTTTTCATAAAATTATAATAAAAGAAGATGGGCGGACAGGGCGAGCGAAGTGCCCATAGTGCAACAAACATGAAGGTGAAATATTAAATCTCAACAATAACAAAATTTTCTTTAATATTTCATCTAACATTTAAGTATACATTATGCAAAATTTCCACAATTTGCAAAAATCCCACGAAGTTTGAAATTATTTGCCTATGAAATAGCATACACACACTGAAGAGGGCAAATAGGATCATTTTCTCATACTACATAAATGACACAATTTTTTGATATGAGTGGGTCTTCGTTCCATTTTTTTTTAAAGGTTGTCATCAAAGTTTGCGTCAGACTATAAATTTTTTAGTAAATAAAAACATGGAGGAAAGACCCACTTTACCTTAAAATACACTTTTATGACATAACATTCAATCTTCTTATTTAAATGCCATTTTTCATCAGGAGCTGTGTAGCGTTGTGGTGAGCGCGTTGGTCTCAAAGGAAAAAGATACTCAGGATTTTTATTCCTAGGGGGTTCGATCCCCACAAATACCACATTATTTTTTAATAGCCGAATAATTTTTGCGGGGAAAATTTTCCTCAGAAAAGTTTTGTTTATCATAATTTCATGAATTTCAATAAAGAGAACTTTACTCTAAATACTAATTTCACAAACGGAATTTGATTTTTTACATATCTGAAGATTAGGGCATTCTGCACGCCTTGTTCGTCCATCTCCTTTTGTTCATTTTAGTAAAAACATGCATTCGCACACTGAATTAAGAACAAATGCCCCAGAAACATCCCCCATTCATTAAATTAATTACACGTAAATACATGTTTATATAAGTGAAATAACTTTGCAGAACATCAACAATAACATCAATAACATCAACAATCACTTATTCAAATATCCCAGTTCCACATACAAATATTCAATGTAATGAATTATTATAATGATAAGAGCTTTATAAAACAATATATAGATAAAGTATTTTTCAAAGTGACCAGCTATATTATGCCTCATTCATATGATAGCCTTTTTACAGTCAAAATCTTGGTTAAATCGTCCAGCATCTACCCAAATGAAAACATAAAATTTTATTTTTAAAAGAGCTTAAAACACTCAAGAAGACATTGATATACAAGTAATTAACACAAAAAACAGTTATAACTAAAAAATTAAGCAACACTCTTCCAACAAGAATTCTGTAAGTAATAATTCAACAGGGTCAACAGTCCAAATAAAAATATCTATTTTGTTCTCTACCATAGATGAATTTAACGCCCAATCACCCTACCATAAAAAAGTTGTTTAAGAATCTTGGATAAATTTTGGTTCATTAATTACTGTAAATCAACTTTTATTCGCGTGCCAGAAATATCCGCGAGTTTCGCGACCTTTTTTAACTCGCGAAAATTTATTCGCCGCGAACCATTTATTTTGCTTTGTATTTGTAGAGAATGTTTCCTCAATCGTGAAAATTAATCGTCGTGGATTGATTTAAACTTAGGAATCGCGAATAAAAGATAATGCGGAAAATAGTTGGTTTACAGTAGGTCATTGGAGTCACCATCGGAATTCATTTTCACTTTGATTTGATACTGAATAAAGAAAATAAAGTATACGGGCTCCACAGATTCCCACTCAGACATACGCTATACTGTCCAAGGTTTTGTTTGATTTCTTGGTCTGACATAGTCTATGTAGGTTCTATGACACATGTATTTTCAGTTAATTTCACTTTCCTTATCTTCTTTCTGTCAATCGTCCTTTATCGTACATATTCTTACTTAATTCCTATCTAGTCGAAGAACAACCGCAGTAACTCGTAGGACTCTCCCATTAATTCGTAGGAAACTCGAAGTGTCGCGAGTACTACGAAGTGCCTCGAAAGTCGCACGAATATCGAAGATTTACTACAAATTTCTGTACAATTGCAATGCAATTATATTACGAATACTTAAGAACTGTGCTGTGCCCACGATTGTTTTGAACATGCTCAAAATAATCGCACAGTTTTGCGATTAAATATGAAAAAGTACGATATCCTAAGATTACCTCAACGATGAACCCCGATTTGCTGCGATTTAATTGAATTCATAATGAATTGTAGTTCTAAATCGTCACAGTGTGACAGGGGCTTTACTGACCTTTTTTCCCTGATATCTTTTTATTCAAATCAGACCCAAATTGTACATTTTTAAGAATTGTGAATATAGAGACACTATATCATTGAACAATTAAGCTCTAAAACCTTAAGTTTAAACAGAGATATCAAAAGTCCTGCATACTGACCTGGAAATTAGTGAGGACCAGACACACGATACTTGTTATACATCTGGACCACTGCAAGACATGTAGTGTCAGAAAGCCCAGTTTTGTTGTTCTGTCGATCAACGACACTCTACTATCACTGCTCCAATGACTGTGCCTATGTTATCAGAAAAATTTTGATTAATTTATCAAAACAAGTTGTTTATATATATATATATATATATAAAAAGTCCTATATATATGTGCGGCCTCATCCAGGCGCCATCGTTAAAAAAAATTTATTTGTATTTTATCAAACAGTTATTATTGTTATGACACATTTACTCCTCAATGAAAGAGAAAGATAACTTCAATACTGTTTAAAGCTATTAAAAATTAAAATCTAATATCATCCTCTAGCAACAGAATTAGATTTAGTAACCGACTTCAATCTAATAGGGAAAGTACATTTGTATTTTTCTCTTTGACACTTACCCGATGTTGAGTTTGGAATTCCAAGTTTGAAACATATTTTATCTGGAATGTTGTCATGAACTGAAAATTGACAAATTGTAAATGGATATATTTAAAAAAAAAAAAAAAGCATACCGCTACTTTAATTTAGGAAAAGCTGTCTATTTTTTGTTTCATGATGTAATAAAGCAATTAGCTTTCATGAGAATTTGCATAAACGCCGAAGGCGTTCAAGAAAAAAATTATCACGCAAGTCAATTGCTTGATCATCATCATAAAACAAAAAAAATCTTACAGTTATCCCTTACATTGACATGCTCTTGATTCAGTAAATTCACGTGCCACAAGCCCCGCCTACTTCCGCCCCGCGGGATTTTATTTTTACCACGCCTATCATTTCATTAAATACAGTCTGTAAAATATACACAGAATTAAAGAATTAAATCATGCACTCTTCAGTAGGAAAATCCAAAGTAATACCCGTGGAGCTACAATGATTTTAAATGACTGATGCTCATTCTCAGCAAACTCTAAGGCTACAAAAGGAAATATGTTGTAAGGAATGGCTCCATCTTTGTAGCACAAGTCTATGTCCCCATTCCAAAAGGCAAGGTTCACTGGGAAACCATTGGGAGATTTCTACAATACAACAACCAAAAAAATAAAAAGGTCAAAATAATCAAATAGGTATTTGATGCATTTTTTGAGGATATACCATAGATTGCATGAAATATCCGTTTCCCTTTCTGCCTCATATCTCCTGGGATGTCTGGGAAATGATATGTATGGTGATACAGTGGTTGCCAATTCAAAAATACATGTAAATATATATAACATTGCAATATTCGCAAGGAAGAATTTATGTTTTTGTCCTGTAATTTGTATCAAATAGAAAAAAAATATCTTATTTTTTAAATTGAACTACTAGAAAAAAATATTTGAAAAGTTAGTTGACTGTTTTCATAATAAATCATGTTGCTTAAAATGCAATACATGAAAGATTACCAGACATTTATTATAGGTCAATATATAAGTCACGTGCAATGTGCACATAACTTAGTTTTTATCAGATGATAATAATATGATTTTTGATAAAGCCACACCATCTGACTGAGCTTTGAATTATTACGCTTTATCACAATTCACCTAGATGTACTGGATTACAATCACCTATATGGTACTTCTGTGCACATTTTTAAAAGCAAAGAGTTTCTTGTTCCCTGGAAAAACCAATGCTACCTCAGCATCTAATGGACGTTCTGATTCTGATGTATACAAACAACTTCTTCATCTGGAAAAAGTGATAAATTTGATATTGGGGGATCAAAAACATCAAGCTCTAAAAAAATCAGCAATTTGAACGACGGCAAAAGTTATAAGAGGAAGAGAATCAGACAGCCAAAATGAAGATATCAGTTTTAGAAAGTGAAAACAAAACCTTGAAAGAAAGACTAGACAACTTGAATTCTTCATCCACTATATCACAGGATGAAAAACTGAATAATCTGAATTCAACATCAACATTTTTGCTTCAAGAGAATTTAATTTTGAAAGATCTGATTAAGATTTTGAACTCTACTTCCATGCTTTTACAACAAAACTTGACAACACCAGAAGACCTAAAAAGGCTGGAGAACATCCTTACCATTGAAATAGAGCAGACTATTAGAGACAGTGAAGAAAAATAATAAAGAACATGTCTGCCACAATCAGGGACTTGGAGTCCAGTGACCGATATTTATCACTTTCTCTTCTGGACGTACACAGCAACATGACCTCGCTTAACATCACACTTTCCAACCTTAATCAACAGCAGAAGATACATGAAGAGAAACAGAATATGACAATTCAACATTTATCACTTTCTCTACTCGATGTACACAATAACACAGCATGGCTTTCATCATCTCTTTCCAATTTGACTGCGCAGCAGAAACAGATGAAGAGTGAGATCTAAACACTGACAAATTCACAGCAAAATGACATTACCAAACTGAATCATACAATTATCTATCTTAAGAATCGTATGTATACTCTTAATTTTTTTCTTTCTGTTCTGTTGAAGAAGACCAAAATATATAAAAGAGCTTGTTCACTAAGGGGCTTATTTGGCCCTCTGAAACTCTGAAAAATAAATACTTCAATTTTAGATGACAAGGCTTTACATATAGCAAGGACCTTGGGTAACTTAACATAAATGACATAATTTTCTTGCTAGTTGATATAACGTAAATGCACTGGTATTGTGATGTCATAAATCACATTTTTCACATATCTTAAAAAGTCTTTAAAAATAGCCAATGTTTTAAACTGTTTTTCCCCAATATTTTAAATGGAGCATAACACCCTATCCAAATAATACAGGACTTTTAGTATATAATTAAAGAAATGTTAATAAAATACACTATATTGCGAAATCTAAGTGCCTCCTCTTGAAATTGAACCCGGGTATGCCAGTCCAGTGCTCTGCCGATTGAGCTAAAGGGTTAACCCACTACCCCAAGCTAGTAGGAAGCTGTGTTTCTTACACTACCATGATATAAATGATATGTTTTATTACATTTTCAATGGTGAAATACTGTGATCTATCTATTAAATAAAAATGATATTCTGTCATAGTGTGAAATGATACCAAAGTGATATTCTGTCACAGTGTGAAATGATATCAAAGTAAGTAAAAAATTATTTCTGGACTGACATGAGATAGAGATAGTACCTGAACCGTCTTGATAAAGACTAAAACTGCCAATTTCTTCCACAAAATGTTGCTAAAATCCATTCCAAAATGTTTTTAATCTCACAATTGCTAAGCTATGACGTCTCAACCGCTCAACTATGACGTCGCAGACTATGGCAATGTGTTAAAGAAAGACAGAGACAAAGGGAAATCACAGAAAATGAAATAAACAGAAAATTCAATGTTTTGTATTTGGAAATGGAATTTCACTCGTGAGACAGGATATTTCATATTTATAATTTTTTTTCTGAAGGTACTCACATTTGTTTTCCGAGACTGTAAAATGTTAAAAGATTTCAATTTTCCATACCCTGTTTTCAAATATGTGAACTCTCGTAAAGAATTTATGTTTTGGAAATGAAAGCACTAAGTCTCTGCTTTTAATTATGACATTTTTTTGAAATGGGACATAAGGGAGAGAGTAAATTAATTGGACAGTGTCAATAAATGCACAAAATGATAGGTCTAAAACTCTATTGTTTCACATATTTCATGGTTTTTAATACAGTAATGTAACTACTAAATAATCAAACTTGTGTACACATGTTATTGTACATGTTAGTGCATTAAAAATAAATTTATAAACTGTTGTATGACAAGAGAAAAAGACATAAATCATTTAACAAAAAATACAAACCTTACATTCAATTCATCGAAAAATATTTAAATTTTTGCTACATCCGCTAGGAAATGTGGATCATATATGATAATGCCAGGTAATATTAAATTCCTATTAGACCTAACATGACTTATCAGATAAAAAAATAATACAATATCATGCTTGTAGTAAGTAATTGCATTAATTATACACACGTATACAGCAACCCCTTGTTATGAAATTTTAATTTTCTAAATCATGACAAATAGAACTGCATTCTATAGTCTGGTGTATATTTTTAGGTGTTCAATCCAATGTAGCATTTACAGCTGGAATCTTAGGAGAGACAAACGGGCAACATACATATAGAGGCACTGTTAAATTCCCAACAGTCATATACCAGGTAGGAGGAGGACATAACCCCAAAACAGGAGTGTTTACTGCCCCAAAGACTGGACTCTACCTCATATTCTGTATTAATGTGGCATATTATGATGAATCCTTCTGGACAAAAATAATGATTGATGGTTCGGTTAAGGCAGGAGTCGTGGCTTACGTTAGTGGATTTGCTAATACCTTTCAGTCTGCCTCTAACCTTGTTGTCCACCAGTTACAAGTGGGGGACAGGGTCTGGACAGAAATTTCTAGTGGTATTCATCTGTACTCATCTTTTCCAGATACAACCTTTTCTGTCATCATGATCAATGGATCAGACTAAAACTACCACTGTTAACATGATTATTTTCAGTGCAATAAGTATTCTACATTTTCTTGACACTTACTCCATGGATAGAAAAAAATCTAACTCAAATCACTAGTTTAAAAAATTCAAAAACTATGAATGAGCATTCACTCAAAAGCATAAAACGTGTTGCTTCATATATTACCTGATTAATTGACTTGAATTAAGGTTATTTGTTTACTTTTCAACTTTGCTTTTAAAGATATTTAAATACATCTGGACTTAGTTCTGATGGGGTTAATCACTGATGAGTACACCATCAAAGGTAATCTTAGATCTGTGGTTTCACTGTCCACAATGATTTTGGGAAAATTGTACTGAAATCAATCAAAAACGTTTTAGCATGGATTCTTCAAAAATCAATATTTAAAAAAAAATGAAATTGAAATATACTGTAAAAAACTTTATCCTATATTTATCCAATATCATTATGAAATTGCATTGGATCTGCTAGCTGGTAAACTTGAAAAGATTTAGGGGGGGGGGGGGAAGAGAGAGATTCGATGGAGGGTGGTGGTGGTGGTGGTGGCTTTTATACTTAATGCTTTACAATGCAGTCTTGAATACATGTATGTGCATTAAAAGATCCATGACTCTTACTAAAAGAAAAACAAGGAACACACATGTTCTAAACATAGAAAATGATAGCACATACATATTTTAAGTATATAAGAGAATTTGTCTCCTTACCATCTAGATTGATGCTGCCACCATTACTTCCACATCCACCATGGCCATCTCGTAGTATCATTGTTTGTGTGTGTTTGTATAGTATACATGACCACTGTGAAGTGTGGATGATACTCCTAAAAATGTCTGCATAAATTCATTATATACCCATGTAGTGCTGACATAACCAAAAGAGAAGGATGCATTACTATACTGATTGAACCCGATTACATTTGTATTTGTAATGTTTGATTCTTTCTTTTGAAGAATTAAATGTCCTGCTTTTAACTTACAATGGTGCCTCCCAATTCTAATTCTTGGTAATTTTTTTGTTCAAACTTAACTCCACAAAGATGAATTGCAAAAATGTTTGAAATACCAGTTTTGTCTATTAGAGAGTCCAAAAAGTGTTTAATGGAACATCAGGCTGAAAATGAAATACGACGAAAGAGCCTCATGTTTGATAGAACTGTCTGATGGTTTTCATTACAATACAATTACAATAAGAAAACATTACTGCATAAATTAACAGACGGTCAAATGTAGAAAAAAAAAACTGAAACTATATTTTGACTGGGCTCAGATGAGCTAGAAATTTAAGTTGCAGTTAAGAATTTCATTACCCTGAAAAATAACTTGCTTTTTTAAAAAAGAAAGAAATGTCAACTCTCAATTTTGTACAATTTTTTTCCTGATGACAAAAAGTACACAGAGACAGGATGTACGATCACAAGGCCGCATAATCCTAACCCCCCCCCCCCTCAATTTTAAGTAATGTATCTTGTTACCACGACGAGAGATAATCAGGGACAAATATACCATATACATGTACATGTATAAGGTATAAATATCTCTGATATCACGTAAAAATGCATAGTTTTGCATTATAATATAATTTTTTTAATCACAGAGAACATGATCGTCGGAACCAGATAGGTGGGGTGTGTTGGGTGCGGTTGCAGCCATCCCCCTTTCTAAAAATGTTCAAAAATATCTTATTTGGAACAAATTAATGTCATTCTATTGTTTAAAGTAATGCTGCAACATTTTATTGTAAAATATGGTTAAATTGACTCCATGAATGCATCAGCAAGCTTTTTTTTTTAAAATGTGGTTGGCTAAGAGCATGGGTACACCTTCCACACCCTCCCTACACCCATCCCTTTCTAGGGACCTAGCGACGTCTCTGGAAACACTAATAACAGATACTAGTATTCACAACAGTTCGAAATCTCGAGTTTACTTTTACAAACTTAGCGCTGTTTAAATTACATAAACCTTAAAAAATATTTTAAGGGTAAAATTCATTTTTATCAAGAAATTATTCAGAATGTGTTAGTGTTGTATGTTTTTTCTTTAATACTATAAGAAAGGGAGAATCTGAAGAAGAAAAAGGAGGTCTGTCATTTGATTATCTTTCGACCATTGGTTTCTTTATTTGTACATTTTGCTGTGTTGTAGTAATTAATGTATAGTTGTTTTTTTATATTTACAAATCGCATAAATACTAGTATACATAATAGAATAAATATTACTTTAACTTTGGATCGAAATATCTCAAAGATTCACAATAGATATAAAATTCCATATTATTATTGAGTATTCAGTACTTTGAAGATCTCATTTATTAATGGAAATAACATGTCTGACTGTGTATCGTAAGATGCATTTTCAAAAAAAAAAATTTTGTTTACCTTAACTGACAAAAGACTCTTCGAAAAAAAAAATGAAATGCATTTACAGTAAATCTCTAACAAATTTGATTATTTTTATTAAAATATAGTACTTTATTTCTACTTTTAATGATGGTAAAATTTCAGTGGAAATGAAAAACTATACTGAAAGGAAAAAAGAAACGAAGGGTAAACTTTTGAAGTGAATTAATGCTATTTTTCTGAAATTATTCTTCAGTATTATCTAACATTTAAACTCATCTTTACTTAACATGTTACTAAAGTCACATTTGAAATTGTCTCATAATTCATTAGTTATTGAAATTCACATGATGGTAGCCCCCAAAAGTGAAAATAAAAATTGTCATTATCTCCCTCGCGCATCTGTCACAGCCTTGATTCTCCACTCCTTGGAGTTCATCAGTGCATTTATCTTTCTCATAGGTGTATTATTCAACCCTCCCAACAGGGCAGCCCTTAGTTGGCCGAGAGTAGCTTGGGCATTCCGACGCCTTCAAACCCTGCCGTCCAGTTATACCCACAGGTTTTCTATTGGAGAAAAAGATAAAATTTACGGAGGCCAGTTGATTTGGTTATTGTGAATGTTTGCGAGAAAGTATAGAAAAACTCCAGGGGCGTACATGCCGAAAAATTAGGCATACTACGAACAAGTACGCGAGTGAGAATAACACCGACGTAATTTGACAAGTTCACGGACCAAAACAGAGCAATCTTTTCTGTCAGTTTTAAGGTGAATGTAATGATACTGATTGTCTACTGTATCAATATCGGTTTAGGTGGTACTGCCGTGGCGATTACACAGCTGGTAGGATGAAAAGTCCCATCTGAATGTGGCGTTGTTACGCGTCGTCACCGTTACGGTTGGTTGGGAACCATTCCAGTTCTTCTCTGACAACGGATAAAATGTTCTATGGTGCAAAAGATTATTAAAAAAAACTACACAGCAACATGCTGTTGCCCTTTTCTTCAGTTAGGTAATTCAATTACTAGACCCAATGAAACTTCCGTTATCCATACCATGATTGCAAGACATTCATATTGACTCTAAATATGGAAAACAATGTGTATACCTCCAGTGAATCAAGTGGCACTACAAAATGTTATCAAACCTGTTGTCATCAAAACGCACCTGTTTTTGGCTTTTCACCACTTTCCCTATGTGACGTCATACATTTCACGGCTGAGTAATTTTGAAAACTGATTTAAGTGCACAATAACCAAGATACATATCTGACCAGTTTTCATGATTTTCGGCCACACAGTCAAAAATATTTCGCATAAAGTGCTACATTGCGTTCCTTTTTCCTTTCAGTATGTATATTGTCTAAAGATTTTTTCTGTTTACCCAATCATGTTTCCCCAAACAGAGCATACGTACAGAGAGTGTGACCGGTCGAGAGGGGATGCTTACTACTCCATTGCACCTGATTGTTTAAATGGACTTTTGAGAGTGATCACTGTTTGTTACCCTCACATTTCATTCATCAATAAGACTACTGCTGCATTTATACACTCACCATAAATTCCACATTTCATATACTCTGAACTACATCAAGAAAGCAACATTTAGGCAACTCAGAGACGTAAAAATGCTTTTGATGGAGTAGCAGTTTATTTAACTTATGTCAGTAGGGTAAAATTTTGCAGTACAAAAATTACACCAAAACCAGACATCTGGGCCACTGCAGGATAGGTTGTGTCTGAAAACCCAATTCTGTTGCTCTGTCGATCAAAGACCACATAAAAACCCTCCACTATCACTGCTCAAATGGCTGTGCCTGTGTAATGAGAGAAATTTTTTATTATTTGCCAAAAACCAAGATGAAACAAGAGGCCCAAGGGCCACGATTCCCTCTTCTGATACATTGTACAACCTATCGCTTCTATTGGAAGCTTCTGAGTATCCTACACATTTAGATAAAGTCTTGAAATTCCAAAAGTAGGTCATCATGACCTACATTTTGGTTAAAACACTCTGAGAACCAAAGATGCATCAACTGACAAAGTTTGATGATTTGAAGTCCCTTATTTTATTAAAATATTCAGATATAGTCATGAAATTCGAAAAACAGGTCACAATGACCTATATTTTTAGTTGACATACTTCGAGGACCTAAGACGCACTAACTGACAAAATTTGATGATTCTTAGTCTCTTATAAGTTGAAATACCGTATGTTGAAATTTTAGCAAGAGGCAAATTTAGCGATTTATCCCAAAAAATCAATATATATTTTTTGCGAGAAGTAATTTTTGCGATTTTATATTGCCAAGAAAGAGAGCTATCACAACTAATACGGAATAAATTGTTAGCGATATTCAATTTTAGAGTTCTCAGAACACTCGCTAATAATGCCAAAATTGAATCCTCGCTAAAAATTCTGCTTATAAGGTATTCAGAAATTGCCCTGAAATTCCAAAAGTAAGTCTCTGAGACCTACTTTTCAATTGACACACCCAAGGACCTACTTTTGAGTCAACATGATATGAGATCCTAAGATGCATCAACCTACAAGATTTGATAATCCTAGTCCTTATTGTAAGCAAAATATCGACGTTTGAAAAAACATAATTTTTGGCCAACTTTGAAGTGACCATGAGACCACGCCCTTGCCCCAGGGTAATGCCTTGAACAATTTTAAATCTACAACATATCCTAATTTTTGTGTTTGAGTTTTGTGATAATCTAACCAGTGGTTCTTTAGAAGAAGATTTTTAAGTAACGAGTACTTTTGTTTTTATATTTCTAATTAACCCCCCCCACCCCCCGTTTAAAGGTCACATCCCTAGTTTAAGAATAAACAAAAGTCCTTGGGCCAAGGATAATCTGTGACAAATTCAACAGAATTGGCCAAGGGGTTCTTGAGTTATCGCCCATATTCTAAAAAGATTATGCACACTGCACACCGCACAAATGGCCATAGCATTAGCTCTTTGAGCCTTTGGCTTAGAATAGTCGAAAAAACAATACCGGTACATGCAGTAACTTTGTACAATTTTTCCTATATATTTCCTTTGTAAAACTGTGGAGCCCTGTGTGGCTTCATCCCCTACCCAGGCACCATATGGTTAAAAAAAATCAATCTACCAGTACTTTATATCAAACATTTATTATTATGATGTCACATTTGCTCATTGACTATTGACAAGTATTTGTTTGTTGTTTAACGTCCCTTTCATGAATATTTCATTCATATGAAACGCCACCACTAGCCGGTGGAGGGCTGCAAATTTATACCTACACTCGGCACTCAGGGCCAATGAGCAATGAGGGATCTTTTTCGTGCCAACACCTAATGCGACACGGGACCTCGGTTTATACCGTTTCATCCGAAAGACTGGTCTCCACGTCCCGCAGTGGATTCGAACCCGCGACGTAAGGATCAGCTCCTTCCTCTGCAACTCTAGAGCAGACTCTAACCACTGCGCCACGCGGGCGACATCATTGACAAGTGAAAAGGAAATAAAATACTGTACTAAGAACTGTACTAAGAACTGTACTAAGCCATGAAATGGATAAATCAAATAACAACCTCAAGTTACAGGATTGAATTTAGGAATTTTCCTCTCTGTCATGTAAGGAAAAGACATCATCCCCCTCTTTGTATGTGTTTTCCTTTGGTACTCACCTGTTGTTGAGTTTGGAATTCCAAGTTTAAATCATATTTCATCTGGGTTGTGGTCATCGCTTTTTACCCAAAAGACTTAATGCATTGCTGGAAAAAAGAATATAAATGGATGCATAAAAAGAAAGAAGGAAAAAAAGCTCGGATATTGCTACTTTAATATTATACATGTATCATCCCTTTATATTCAGTCTATAAAATGTGTCTAAAACTTCTGTACGCATATATTTACAGATGGCCTTTAAAATGATTGGGTTTTTTTTTTCATTTTTGGTAGGAAAATCAGAAATTATACCTGTGGAGCTATAATGATTTTAAATGACTGATGCTCATTCTCAGCAAATTGTAAGACTACAAAAGGAAATATGTTGTAAGGAATGCCTCCATCTTTGTAGCACAGGTCTATATCCCCATTCCAAAAGCCAAGACTCAATGGGGAAGCATTGGGAGATTTCTACATCAACCAAAAAAACCCCGTCAGAATAATCATAATTTTTCAGTTATTTGGCCTTCTGTTTGATATTCAGCTTTATTAAAGCAATAATCATGTCATTCATATAAGCTTCATAAAAAATTTATTCAGAAAATTTATGGCATTTGATGTATTATTACAGTACTCCAAAGTGAAATGATATGTTTAATGATACAGTGGATGCCATAAAACACTTGTAAATACATGTACATGTGATAATCAATATTATTTCAATTATAAATATGAAACAAATTGCAATTCACAAGAAATAATTCATGTTTGTACCCTGTAATTCAAATCAAATAGGGATATTATTGTCTTACTAGGAAAAAATACTGAATTAGTTCATTGTTTTCAAAATAAATAAATGGCTAATGCAATACATGAATGATAACCAGAGATTTTAATACAGGCCAAATATTACAGGATCAAAGATTACATATGATTTTGTTTTATCAGATGATGATAATTCAAATTTTGATAAAGCCACACCACCGAACTAAACTTGAGCCGAGCTTTATCACAGTTCACCAAAATGCACTGGGTTACAAGTACCTTCATGGTATTTCTATGCACATTTATAAAAGCAGAGAGTTTGTTGTTCCATGGACAATACAATGCTACCTCAGCATCTAATGGACATTCTGATCCTGCTGTATACAAACAACTTCTTCATCTGGAGACAGTTTTAGTTTCAATAATGATGGATCAGAAACAACAAGCTCAGAAATTTGAACAAAAACAAAACTTAATAGAGGGAGAGATTCAGATGCTGAAGCAGTGGAATCAGACAGCCCAAATGAAGATATCATTGTTAGAAAGTGAAAACAAAATCTTGAAAGAAAGGCTAGACAACTTGAATTCTTCATCAACTTCACCACAACAGAATTTGACAATATCAGAAGACCTAAAAAGGCTGGAGAACTTCTTAACCTTTGAAATAGAGCAGACGGTCAGAGACAGCGAAGAGAAAATGATGAAGAATATGTCTACCACAATCAAGGACTTTGAACTCCGAGACCGATATTTATCACTTTCTCTGTTGGATGTACACAGCAACATGACAATCCTTGACCACAAACTTTCAAAGTACAAGCAGCAACAGAAGACACACGAAGAGCAACAGAATATGACAATACAACACTTATCACTTTGTCTGTTGGATGTACACAACAATATGACTTCACTGAACCACACACTTTTTAAGTTCACGCAACAACAGAAGATAAATGAAGAGCAACAGAATATGACAATACAACACTTGTTACTTTCTCTTCTAGAGGTACACAACAACACAGCAGCATTATTGTCTTCTCTTTCTAGTTTGGATGTGCAGCAGAAACAGATAAAGAGAGAGATCCAAACACTGACAAATTCACAGCAAAATGACATTGCAAAACTGAATAATACAATTATCCATCTCAAGAATCGTATGTATTTTCCCCATTTTTTTCTTTCTGTTCCATTCAAAATGAACAAATAGTTATAATATAGAGCAAGTTTCACCGCGATTCTGAAAAAGAAATACTTCAATTTTAGATGACACGGCTTTACATATCACTTGGACCATTGATGACTTGATATCTATTAGAAAATTACATAATTTTCTTGCTAGTCAACATATTTATTATGATGTCATAAATTGTGTCATTATTCACATATCCTAGGAATTTCTTTTGAAAAAGACACTGCTTCATGCTGGTTTTTTTTTAATATTTAGAGTAGAGTACAACTCCTTATTCAAAATATACAAAACTTTTTGTATATTCTAAGTAGTGGTAGTACTGTTAAATTATTAAACTATCTCTAACATGTTTTAACTTTGGATTGAGGGAGGGGGTTGTATTCATGTTCTAATTCTTTTCTGAAGATACACTTAATGGTTTTCTAAGATTTTGAAATGTTAAACCATTGCATTTTCACATAGCCTGTTTTCATGGACGTTATTGTGGAACCTTATAAGGTATACATGTTTTTAATCAAGCAATTTGAACATTTTGATTTAAATAGGGAATAAGCCTACAATCTATCTCAACATCAAAGATAATATAAGTCAAGTATTGCCATATTTTGCCACTTTTTTTATTGAAAATTCCCAATTGAAAAGCTCTAGACCCTGCACCAAAACGGGACAATTAAGCCCTGCATGTGGACAGGCTATTTTATAATGCATAAAATGATAGCTCTAAACTACTAAATCCTTTCACACATTAATACATGTAACTATAAAATAATTAATGCGTGTACATTTACATGTTTGTGCATTAAAGATAAATTTTTACACTTTTGCATGACAACAAAAATAAAACTTAATATAAATCAATGCACAATAAATGCAAAGCCATTAATGAATGGTATTTAAATTTGCAACATCCTCCAGGAAACTCTACAGGTAACTATTTGCATTAAATATACGCAGCTTTCTCTGTTATGGAATTTCAATGTACCAAATCATGAATAGAACTGTCTGAATTCTACAGTCTGGTGTATCTTTAGGTGTTCAATCCAACGTAGCTTTTACAGTCGGTATTGGATCTAGTGATAAGCAGGTATTTTCTTCTGGACAAACAGATAAATTCCCAACAGTCATATACCAGGTAGGAGGAGGATACAATCCTTCAACAGGAGTGTTTACTGCCCCAAAGACCGGACTCTACCTTATATTCTGTACTAATGTCGCAGATAATCATGAATCTTTCTGGACAAGAATAATAATTAACGGTTATGTTAACGCAGGAGTCATGGCTTATGTTGGATCATCTACTTTGTATGTCTACCAATCAGCCTCCAACCTTGTTGTTCACCAATTACAGGTTGAGGACAGGGTCTGGATACAAGTGAATGCTGGTAATCAACTCTACTCAAGTAACCTAGAGACAACCTTTTCCGTCATCATGATCAATGGATCAGATTAATACTACCTTGCTATTGATGGTTTTCACTGTTTTATGTACTGCAGTATTTGAATACCTTCTTCAAACTTACTCAAGAAATAGAAAAAAACTTCAAACTCAAATAAACAATAATGATCTTTGAATAACACCCAAGTGGCAACATATCATACTTATACCTCTGATATTAGCATGATATTGAATATTTATATTTTATATACTATAATGATTACAACTCAATCTGACATTAGTTAAGGGTATGTATGCCTGTCCTTTTCTTTTCAAGCCATGATACATTACTTGGACATAGGTTTTGATATAGGTTTTGATCACTGATGCATACACTTTCATAGTTAACCTTAATTAGATCTGTGGTTCCATTGTCCACAGTAGTTTTGCGAAAATTGTTCTGAAATCAACAAGTATAAATTAATACAGATTTTTATTAAAAAAAAAAAACCAATAACTTTTCAAGATGGATGGAAATAATAAAAATAAATACCAGGTAACAAAAAATAATAGAAATTAACATCAACATCATTACATTTGTTCAATATAAAGTAGCATGAGTTCATAAGAAAGGGAAAAACTCTTCTTTCATGCCATTAGTTGTCATACTATTACAAAAGATAGAAGACATTAAATGATTATAATTTCTTAATGATATACTTATTGATCAGGTAGACGGGGTACTCCGTAGTGAAATTTAGTATTAACAAGCTAATTCAGAGAATTTGTGTCCCCCGCTTAGGGGAAAAAGAAGAGCATGCGCAGTTCGGGGGTGGGGGGGTGGGGTCTGAACTCCCCCCCCCCTTGATTTGTAGAATTAATAAATGTAAACATGCATATTGAAGGAAATAAAAAATGCCAATATGGATATAAAGATTTGATTGCTTATTCTTTAATATGTGTATAGAAGATACACGTTTTGCAGTCGTATTGTCGCTTTAAAGAATTATTATTGTTACCCAATCATAATACGGATCACACAGGGTTTGACAAGGAATGCTCCATCGCACCTGAACCCACCTCTGTTTTCATAGGTCTGTGTTGGTTCTGCTAATAACTTGCACTGTTTAAATCAACATTTCCTCTGTTCATTATCTTCACATTCCATTCATCAATTAGTCTTACGATGCATTTATACATTCACTTTAAATTACATTTTTCATATCTTCTGACGTATATTTAGCAACTTTCAGACAAGACAAAATCTTTAAAATGATGTTGATGGAGTAGGAGTTTATTTAACTCTGTGTCATTAGTGTGAAATCTAGAAGTTCAGAAATTACACCCATTGCAAACAATCTGGAGTCATCTAGAATGTTATTGAGACAAATGAATGTATATGCCATACAAATAATAAGATACAGTCAAACCATATTACCTTGAACTCCATCGTATCGAGAGGAAAAATTCAAGATATCCGAGGATTCGAGATATCCGGGGTAAAATACTTAAGGAATAAGGGGGTGGGACTTTAAAATCCCTTCGACAAATCCATGGTATTCGAGATATCCATGTTCAAGATACCGTAGTTCAACTGTATAATATGTCGATTATTTTAATGAACATGAGTGACAGTTTTAAATTTTCAAGGTAATATAACCCATTGACTAATTAATAACAATAGTTACACATATAAATAACACTTAGAATCTACTTAAAATTCTCCATAATACACTCCCTCTATTAGCTATTTAATGAATCCTTATAAGCTAGAAATAAACCAACAAAGTAAAATATCACAATGAAATATATTTCAGTATTTAGCATATGTACACTGAGTATTGAAAATAATAAGGAAAATTTTTCTAAAGAAAATTTAAAAGCACTAATTAGAAACTCTCTAGTATTGCTTCATAATTGCTATGTTAAAATGTAATAGATTTTTTGCTTTGCCATAATGCCACGTAACAACACTCCAATTCTAAATCCTCTGGGCCCCAGAAAAATTTCCCAATTCATCCATACATGAACAATCCATAGATTTAACAGTTATCTGTAGCTGCCTATAAAAACAATTTAACTTCCAAAAATCTACTCTATCATTAACAAACAAGAAAATGAAAATGTTTGATGACAAATGTGGATGCAGGCACATATATAATAACAATGACATCAGCAGTTTCACCTGAAATCAAATAACAAAAAATATAACATAAAATTTCCTGTTAGGTCATATACAGAATTATTATACATGACCAGTAGATCTATGCTCTAAATATTAGACAACAGTGTACGAGTAGGATTTGCAAACCTCCATAAATAGTCATCAAATTTTTAAAAGCTCGTCTTATACATCACATGCTCTGGAAAATTTAAATGAATCAACATTCAATACCTGTTGATTTATTACAGTTTTTCATGATTCAGAGTAAATACAACCATTGTTAATGTGAAAATTCAACCTACTGTAAACAAACTGAACAAAATTATTTTAATATCAAAATTAAGTTAAGTTTTAGTTAAAAACTATTTTGCACTTCTTGCAATTGTTACTAACATCAAGCATTACTTATTTAAACATTCCAGTTCCACAAACAAAAAAAAAACTAATTATGAATTATAATAAGGGTTCCACTGGAATATATAGGCGAACTATTTTTTTTTTAAAAAGTGAACAGCTATATTATGCCTCACACAATAGCCTAAATCTTGGTTAAAGAGTCCAATATCTACATATACGAAGATTTTAATTTGTATATAGACACTAAACAAAACATGAATATATTGATGATTGACACAAAAAACCAGTTATAACTATTTAAATAAAATCAAGCAATATTCTTCATTCCCACAAGATAATTCCCACAAGAATTCTATAAATAATTATTCAACAGTGTAAAGTCCAACAATAAAAAAAAAATATCTAGTTATAACCTACCATAGATGAATTCAACGCCCAATCACTAACATGCAAAAAATTGTCTAAGAATCATGCATAAAGTTTGGTTCATCAATTAAGTCATTAGAGTCTCCATCAGAATTCTACCTCTTCGTTTTCTCGTAACACTTTGACGTCCGCCATTGATACTGAATGAAGAGGATAAACAAAGGCAGTATACAGGCTCCGCAGATTCCCACTAACACGTACGCCACAATGACAAAGGTTTTGTTGGATTTCTCTGGTTTGGCATAGGCACAGTTTCCCACTGAACCTAGAATGTAGCAGGATTCAATTAATATACAGATTCAAGAACAAGATACAAGAACAAAATTAAATGTACAGCAAAACTCCATTATAAGGAATTAGCTTATGAAGAAATCTTAGTTACAAGGAACTTTTTACAAATCCTGACGAGGACTTTTCACTATGATTCTTAAGGATACATAACACAAACAAAAATTTCATTCCTGGATTGATGTATAATTTTTGACTGATTTTGAATAGAAATGACATAAATAATAAATCCTAAGATATAAAGAAAACGTATTAAGTGTTCTTTGATGCTTAAATATGCAACTTTGTTTTGTTTTCTGTGTAATTCTATACAAATTTTTGCATATATTTTTAACATTGTGACAAAATATTACAAAATTTTCTGATTTTACCTAGTAAACTTTAGTCAGGTTACTTATTTAAATATAAATCTATGAGAAATATCACTGATTTCTGAAAAAAAGTTTGTTTGTCTTATTTATCCTTAATATATGGATATAAAGAATTTCAGTTATAAAGAAGCAAGATTTGATGTCCCATTGATTTCCTTGTAACTGACATATAGTGTAAAACAGAAATTTAATCTAAAACATAGCTCAGATTAAGATGAGCTAAAAAACTGAGCAGTCAGAAAAAGAACAAAAAAGTAGACCTACAAAAAAGTGGCTTTTGGAGATGTAATTACATGTATGACGACTTATTACACAAATACAAGAACCTTTAACAATTGAAGAAGAAATTTTTGTTCAGTAAAAATATTGATTATTACAGATACCTTATATTTCTTGAATGTGCGTAATTTTGCAATAGTGTCAGCTGGCATTAATTCTGCAGTGTTAAAATACTAGGGCTGTATCAATATATCGAAATTGATATGTATCGATATTCAAGAATGTATTGTATAGAAAAAATGACTTCCAATATGTATCGGGCAATTAGGTTTTAATATAATTCTGTGAAAAAGTTGAGAATTTCTGTCGACAAAGTTTGTATTTAACAGTTCTGAATTAAAATTGATCAATAATGATATCAATCATTAATTAAGAAGGTAGCACATCTTAGATAATTATTACAAAATGCATAGATACCTTTATTTAACATGTTGATTTTACAGTCATTAAAAGTTTGAATTTGAAGTGTAATTTGTAGTGACAGTGAGAGAATAACTTTAAAATGAGTTGAAAAACGATTGGTTTTTATAAAATTCATGCATTAACCTTTTATAGACTTGTTAAAGAATCTAATATATCGTATATCGCATTATAAAATATCGTATTGTATCGTATCGAAATTTTTTGCTCAATACACAGCCCTATAAAAAACATAAATAGCACAGCATTATGAATCCATAATAGGTGTTAGTATGCAATGGAATATGTTAACATTGTAACTCCATAATCTGTATTTAAAACATGATTGTGACGTAAACCTTTTGTTTGTGTTGTCCATTCTATAGCTTAATGTTGAGCTAAATCCTCAAACAATCCATTATGTTACCTGTAAGTGTCCATTCTTTTTGGAAAACTGTCCATTCTTTTAAGAATGGACAGGTTTTTTTTTTAAAGAATAGACAGTTAAAACAAACAGAATGGAGAGTTACAGGTTAACTTTGGAATGTGCTCAAGAGGGAAACAAAAACAAATACATTAAATACTTTTTAATTTACATGTAAATAACAAAAAAGAACACGGGGTTCTTTAGTTAATCCAGAACACAATGTCTGCACAGCATCCACTCTACTTTACTTTTTTAAATCCACGAATAATGCACATCATTTCAATATTCTAAACTTAATTTTCACAAAACTTGAATTCAAATGACACAATTTCACATTTGATTAAAATTTCGGAAAAATTTTTCCCTCGAGGAGAATTCATTTTCAGATAGAAGTACGTCTAATATTAAATCCTCCACCCAGAAAACAGTTTGCACCATGAACACTACACTGCTGCAGTTAATATTTCGGTATAATTGTCTCATATATCGTAACAACACTAGTATGTTGTCTTTGATTTGGCATGATAGCTGCTTTTCATTAAAATAAAACATAAGTAATTTTAGTTTACACAGCCCACATAAGGCCAAAAAATTAATCTTTAGCTTTTCGGGGCAAAAATTTCAAAATTCAATGCTGCAGACATGTTCCCTTCTTTTTTTTTTTTTTTTTTTTTTATTGTCAGTTGTTCAACAAAATGATGATATCAACTGATTCTTACTTTTTTTGTTCTCTTACATTAATTATAATATGTACACAACTTTACATTATTTTATTCCAAACGTTTGTTTAAAATTTTATTCATAAAATACCATGTTAACAAGAAATATTTGTTTATCTAATGAAAACGTCTATCTATTAGCATGTTGAAAAGGGGAATAACTCATCATATGCAAGTTTAGTTCACATAGGTTTCATATTTACTGAGGAATGAGTCTTGCTTTTAAAACTTTTACTCAAAAACTTTAACCTGCTCCAAAACATTAAATTGATCATTTTTATGAAAGATACTGGCAGCTAATGTAGCATCTGAAACCTGACTGGCACAATGTAAAACATACTAGATGCATAATCCATGAAACTCTGATCAATATAGGGCATAGAAATACATGTACTCGAAAAAAAACCTGCTCTAAAAATTTTAACCTGAGACATCAAGCCAACACAGAGGATATTATAAATAATCCACCAAACTTACACTTTCATGTTACTTATTACACTGTAGACAATGTAGAATTGATCTGAGATGAAGCCTTGCATACTAACCTGAAAATTTGTGAGGACCAGACACATGTGACTTGTTTTACATCTGGGCCACTGCAGGACATGTTGTGTCTGAAAACCCAATTCTGTTGTTCTGTCGATCAAAGACCACGTACATAAAACCCCTCCATGATCACTGCTCCAATGACTGTGCCTGTGTTATGAGAGACATTTTGTGTTACTTAACAAAAACAAGATTTAAAAAAAAAACAATAGCCCCATGGGTTAAATAGTCACTTTATACAATATTTCATATATGCTTTCTTTGTAAAATTGTGTGGCTTCATCCCTACCCCAGATGCAATATTTAATAAAAATCAATCTGCCTGTACTTTATCAAAAAGTCAACATTGTGATGTCATGATATGTCATGTTACTGATTGACATGTGAAAGGCAGGTAAAGTACTGTACTAACTACTGAACAGTACTGTTCTAAGCTACACGTGTGGAATGGAAAAATCAAATATCATCCATCTTGCTACAGGAATAGGGTTAGAAATTTACCTCTGTCGTGTAAGAAAAATACGTCATCCCCTCCCTTTTTGTATGTGATTTTCCATTGGCACTTACCAGATGTTGAGTTTGCAATGCCAAGCTTGAAACATATTTCATCTGGGTTGTTGTCATCTTTTTTCCAAACAGATTTAATGTGTTTCTTAAAATGAACATAACATAAATGGATACATTAAGAGAAAGAAAAACCTTGGATACTGGTATTTATTACATTTTCAACAGTGAAATACTGTAATTTATTTATTGAATAAAAGCGATATTCTGACACAGTGTGAAAGGATATCATAATGGTATTCTCACAGTGTGAGAATATCAGAAGTGTGGCATAACTCGAGATTTTCCTTCCCATCACAAATTGTATTTTAAAAAAAAAACTCCCTGGCCTGTTAAAAGATAGAGTAAATGAATCATCCTGAGATAAAACTGCCAAAGTTTCTCCAAATATGTTGTTAAAAATCCATGATTTCAATTGTTATTAATGTCTCAATCGCTTAGCTATGACGTCTCAACCGCTCAACTATGACGTCACAGCCTATCACACCCTGTTACGAAAAGACAGAGTCATAGGGAAAATAACAGAAAATGTATTAAACAGAAAATTCAATGTTTTGTAGATGAATATGGAATTTATTTCACTCGTAAGACAGGATTTTTTGATATTTTCACTCGTGCTACGCACTCGTGAAAATATCAAAAAATCCTGTCCCACTAGTAAATTCCATATTCATCAACAAAACATTGAATATCCTCTATTTATCATCTCATACAATCTTGTAATGTTGTTTATAACTTCTGTACACAGAATAAAAGATAGCCTTTAAAATGAATCATGCACATTTTAGTAGGAAAATCTGAAATAATTATTATGTGGAGCTACAATGATTTTGAATGAGTGTTGCTCATTCTCTGCAAACTCTAAAGCTACAAAAGGGAATATGTTGTAAGGAATGGCTCCATCTTTGTAGCACAAGTCTATGTCCCCATTCCAAAAACCAAGACTCTCTGGAGGAGCATTCGGAGACTTCTACAATACATCAATAACAAAACATTTATTTAAATAATCAAACTGTGGATTTATCTGACATTCAACAATACTTGGTATTCTGTTGTATTAAAATAATACATAATAATATTAAAAATAATTCTTACATGCTTTGTCAACATTTTACTGAGAAAATTTATGGTATTTGATGCATTGTATTTATATGAAATCCCATAGATTGCTTAAAATATCCCTTTCCCTATTTCTGCTTCCTCAATGCCAGGTGCAATGATACATGAAATCATGTATGTATGGTGATACAGTGCTTGGTTGCCATAACACACTTGTAAATGATAAATATTATTTCAATTATGTATATAAAATGTATTGTAATTCACAAGAAATAATTTATATTTGTATCCTGTAATTTACATCAAATAGGGGAAAAAATGTAATATTAACTTTTTATTTTATTAGAAAAATACGTAATAAGTTAGTACACAGTTTCCATAATAAATCAATGGATAATGCAGTACATGAATGATTACCAGGCATCTTAAGCATTAATTTTAGGTCAAAGATTACAGTGTGCATAAGATTAAGCTTTTATCTGATGATAATAATTTGATTTTTGATAAAGCCACTCCATCTAACTGAACTTGTTTGAGTTATTGAGCTTTATCACAAATCACGAAAATGCACTTGATTAAAACCACTTTTGTGGTACTTCTGTGCACATTTTTGAAAGCAGAGGGTTTGTTGTTCCATGGAAAAACCAATGCTACTTCAGCATCTAATGGACAATCTGATCCTGATGTGTACAAACAGCTTCTTCATTTAGAGACTGTGTTAAATTCTATAATGATGGATCAGAAACAACAAGCTCAGAAATTTGAACAAAAACAAAACTTAATAGAGGGAGAGATTCAGATGCTGAAGCAGTGGAATCGGACAGCCCAAATGAAGATATCATTGTTAGAAAGTGAAAACAAAATTTTGAAAGATAGGCTAGACAAGTTGAATTCTTCATCCAATCCATCACATGATGATATCTGCTTGAATGAAAAACTTAACAATCTGAATTCAACATCAACATTTCTACTTCAAGAGAATATTATTTTGAAAGATCAGATTAAGATGTTGAACTCTACTTCCATGTTAATACAACAAAATTTGACCACATCAGGAGACCTGCAAAGGTTGGGGAACAATTTAACATTTGAAATAGAGCAGATGGTCAGAGAAAGAGAACAGAAAATGATGAAGAACATGTCTGCTAAAATCAAGGACCTGGAACTACGAGACCGATATTTATCACTTTCTCTTCTAGATGTACACAATAACACAGCCGAATTATCGTCTTCCCTTTTAAGTTTGGATGTGCAGCAAAATCAGATGAAGAATGAGATCCAAGCAATGACAAATTCCCAGCAAAATGACATTGCCAAACTGAATGATACAATTATCCGTATTAAGAATTGTATGTATACTCTGAATTTTTTTTCGGTTCTAAAAAGAACAATTAGTAATAAAAGAGCAAGTTTCACTGAGTGCCTTATTTGGTCCTGATAATTAAATTCCGAAAAATAAATACACGTGTACTTCAAAGTTAGGTGACATGGCGTAACATACCATTTGGACCTTTGGTGACTTAGTGTCTATTTAAAAAAAGGTAATATTCTTGCTATTCTTGACATACCAGTATCATTTCATATTGTGTCCTACTGTGAAATTGTTTCATTATTCACATAGTTACATAAAAATTTCTTTTAAAATAGCCAATATTTTAGCCTTTTTTTCAGTATTTCAAATATAGCACAAGCCCCCTATCCAGGTACGTTTGTTTGTTTGTTTATTGTTTAACTTCCCTCTCGAGAATTTTTCACTCATATGGAGACGCCACCACTTGCCGATGGAGAGCTCCAAATTTTTGACTCGGAGCCATTTAGCAGTGAGGGATCTTTTTCGTGCCAACACCTAATGCGACACGGGACCTCGGTTTGTACGGTCTCATCCGAAGGACCGGTCTCCACGTCCCACAGTGGGATTCGAACCCGCGACGTAAGGATCAACTCCTTACTCTGCGACTCTAGAGCGAACACTCCAGGTACGTAGTATCAGGGAGGGGAGATGGGGGATGGCCTTTCACCTTTTTTCCAAACATAGCCTTTTACTGTTGAAAATGTTCATTTTTAAAGGCTGGTTGCCTTCCCCTTTTTTTGCAAAATCAAGGTATTGTGGTAATGTATAATAAAATTTGGTTGTGAAAGAAGTTGGGAACCCCCAACCAAACAACCAACCAAAATAAGATTATTGATTCGGTAAATTCCATCCCCCTTCTTTTGTTTTGCTGGTCAAGGTTTTTTTAAGTTGTCAATTTTTTTCTGGCTCCCCCCATCCCCAATGTTCAAAAATGATACTATACTTGCCTTACATCCAAAATAATGAAAATATTCGACTTTTACTTTGTAATAATAGAACTGTTTCCATAGTTTATATAACATTTTATTTTTTTTGGAATGAGAGGTGAGGGTTGTATTCAAATTTTTAATTCTTTTCTGAAGGTCCTCACTTAGTTTTCGAGACTGTTAAATTTAAGAACAATGCAATTTCTCACTATGTGAACTTTCGCAAGGAATTTATATTTCGGAAATGAAAGCACTAAGTCTCCGCTTTAAATTATGGTTACGTTTGAAATTATAACTTTACGTTTTTGATTTAGACATAAATCATAGAATTTCATGTTTGTGGAAATTGTTTTCATTAATTATATACTAGTCCTTGTTATGAAATTTCAACCAAATCATGACTTAAATAGAACTGCATTCTTTAGTCTGGTGTATTTTTAGGTGTTCAATCCCATGTAGCTTTTACAGCTGGAATCTTAGGAGAGGAAACTAAGCAACATACATATACAGTTGGAGATACTGTTAAATTCCCACAAGTCATATACCAAGTGGGAGAAGGATATAACCCTACAACAGGAGTGTTTACTGCCCCAAAGAAAGACCTCTACATCATATTCTCTACTAATGTGGCAGGATATCATGAAACCTTCTGGACCAAAATAATGATAAATGGTTCCGCAAAGGCAGAAGTCATGGCTTATCTTAATGGATCTGTTACTGTCTATCTGTCAGCCTCTAATCTTGTTGTCCACCAGCTACAGGTGGGAGACAGGGTCTGGATTAAAGTACGAAAAGGTAGTCATCTGTACTCATATACTCCAGATACAACCTTATCTGTAGTCATGATCAATGGATCGGACTAAAATTACCAGAGTGACCTGGTGACTGTCACAAGATTACTAGTACTCCCAGTGCCATTTTACACTTTCTAGACACTCACTTCATGGATAGAAAAGAAAATTCCACTTCAAATCACAATAACAAAAATTAATGAACTATGAATGAGCATTCACTGAAATCCATAAAACATGATGCTTTTACTGTAACGTGCTAAATTGATATAACTACTTAAATTCCTGACGTAATTGTTTCTAGGTAAACTTGTGTTTTCAAACCAACATAAATCAAACAATATAAAAGACACTTGAAATTTTCAGTATTAAGTGATATGACTCTTCTTGGAATGGTGTGATATAATTTCTGATATAAGAGACAGTTATAGAGAAGACCAAATTTTTTATAAAACTTCAGTGATCAAATCATCTTTGGATTTAAGTGCTGTCAACGATTTTCTCAGTCATTTTTTTTTAAATTAGCCAGACATTTTCGATGATGTTGAGGTCGGATGACTGTCATGGCCAGTCAAGGCAATCTATATCACTTTCATGTTTCCAGTCTGTAGTCAATTGTGTTGTGATGTTCATCAAGAGTCTCTAAATACTTCTAAGAGTTCATACTTTCAATTATTGGAACTAATGTTCGCACTCCTGAATATGTCACACACCCCCATTACATAGCGCTAAACTTCACACTGTGACCATGTTAGACCGACACACTCTGGACGTTAAGCTTTATCCTGAGTTCTCCACACATACAGACGATTTTCATTTGATATCATTATCTGAGTTTCATCTTAAAAAAACACTTTTCTCCAATAGTCATCAAATGCATGATTTTTCAGATGTTTACACCACTGAACACGGCGTTTTAGATTCACTTCTGACACACTGAGGGTCTTCCTTGCTTTGTGTCTATGAATTCCATGAGAATGGAATTTTCTCCGAATAGTTCTTAAGACACTTTATGAGAAGCATGTTGGTTAAAATTATCCACAATTTTACTCAAAGTCTGTCTTCTATTCTTTTTCACTGCCCAAATCAAGATTCTGTCACCCGGCCCTCTCATCAATCAGACTTTTTCTACCTCGATTCGAGTTCTTTTCCATTTTTCCCCTTTTTCTGCTCTTCAAAGTTTTTTATTCAAATATTTCAGATTCCCGACGTTTCAGCATGAGCATCACTTAAGAGACATAAATTGTCGAAATGTGCATCTGGTGCATCAAAATTGGTACCGTATAAGATTTACATACTTTCAAAATTTATACATTGCTGACATAACAGACAGATGCATTATTCTATATGAACAATTATTTATATAATTATGTATGTATAATTCTTCTTTATAAGGAAAGTCAGCGTTACCTTACAATGGTGCCTCCCAATTAAATGTCTTGGTAATTTTTTTCTGTTCAAACTTTACTTTACAAAGCTGTGTTAAGAAATGTTTGAAATACCAGAGTTGTCTATCAGAGAGTCCAAAAAGGGTATAACAGAACCATCAGGCTGAAAATGAAAATAAAATACAACGAAGGAGCCTCAAGTTTCATAGAACGGGCAATACAATCAGAATAAGAAGAAAAACATTACTGCAGGAAACAAACAGTCAAATGAAGAAAAAAAATCATAAGAAAAATTATAATCAGCTGATGTCAGATGAGCTTAGAATCTAAATTGCAGTAATGAATTTCAATAGCCTGAAAAATAACTAGCCTTTTTAAGAAATGTCAACCTCAATTTTTGAACAACTTTTTCTTGGTGACAAAATGTACAGAACGACAGGATGTACCATTACAGGACCCCATAATCCTAAATCAGACCCCCACCCCCGAATTTTAAGCAATGTATCTTGTTACCACGACGAGAGATAACTAGAGATATATATATATACCATGTGTATGGTATAAATATCTCTGATATCACATTAAAATTCATAGTTTAACACTATAATAATATTTGTTTTAAAAGATACCAAGATTGTCGGAACCAGATATGGGGGGGGGGAGGGTGTTGCGATTGCACCATCCCCCTTTTAAAAAATGCTCACAGATACATGTATATTTAAAACACAGTTATGCCATCCTACTCTTTAAAGTAATGCTGCTACATTTTATTGTGAATAGATTTGTTGAAAAATGACTTCAAGAATGCATCAGGAAACTGGTACCCATTTATAAAAAATGTGGCTGGATCAGATAGAAGGGAGTTCCCCTTCCACGTCCTCCCCGCTTCCCCCTTTCCAGGGACGTGGCGACGTCCCTGAATACATATACAGATATTCACAATAGTTTCCAAATCTCGCACTGTTTAAATCATTGATCAGCAAATTATTCAGAATGTTATATTATCCCAAGTTTCATTTCTTTAATACAATCACAAAGGAATGCTCGGGGGGGGGGGGGGGGGGGCTACGTAACTCCATATCTTCAAGATGTCCTAAACTTTCCATCATTAGACTCTTTTATTTCTCCAGTCTGCTGTATTAGAAATCAATGTATATATACTTTTTTTGAATTTAGAAATCTTGCGTCTTTACATAATAGAATTAATATGTTTAACTTTAGATCGAAACATAAAAGAAATTAAGAGTAAATTTATTGAACATCAAACATTATATCTATATAACCTACTTTCAAATTAAAAGACCTATCTCCAGATGAATCAAAGATAGATTTATTTCAATTATGACTATCTTCGATTGGAGATAGGTACGATTGATTTGGAAAAAAGTTTGGGAAAAAAAGGATAACAATATACCCGTTCTTGAGAGAGAGAGGGGGGGGGTGAATTCAATACATCTCAAAAATTTACAATAGATATATAAACTTCCATTATATTTTTAAGTACTTTGAAGATCTTATTTATTAAGCAATCAAATCTGTTAATAGATTAACTGTTAATACATTTCAATTTTTACAAATAGTACATTGTCAGTAAATGGTAAACAAAAGGATATTTTAAAAAAACAGTTTACGATACACTTACTCAGATATGTTATTTTCATTATTTTCATGAAGAATAAAATACTTTATTTTACATGTAATGAAGGGTTTAGTATAAAACAATATTTCAAAATTTGGTGGAAATGGAAAATAATAAATAATTTAAATTGTGTACGGATTTTTCTGTTTACCCAATCATGACACAGAGCACACGGTGAGTGTAACCAGTCGACAGGGGAAGCTTATTCCTCTATTGCACCTGATCCCACCTCTGTTTCAGAGGACCATGTTGGCCCTGCTCATAATGTTTTGTTTAAATGGACTTTTGAGAATGATCACTGTTCATTATCTTAACATTTCATTCATCAATTAGTCTACTGCTGAATTTATACACTCACCATAAATTGCATATTTCATATACTCTGAACTACATCATTTAAGCAACTTTTAGACAACACAAAAACTTAAAAAAATGCCATTGATGGAGTAGCAGTTTATTAAACTTATGCCAGTAAGGTGAAATCTAGAAGTTCAAAAAATTACACCCAATCAATCGGGAGCCATCTAGAATGTAAATGAGAAAATGTATGTATATGATATACAAATAATAAAATATAATATGTCAATTAGTATAATGTACATGAGTGACAGTTTTAAATTTTTAAGGTAATGTAACCCATTGATCAATTAATAACAATAGTTACACATATAACTAACACTTAGAATCTACTTAAAATTCTCCATAATACACTCCCTCTATCAGCTATTTAATAAATCCTGGCTTATAAGCTAGAAATAAACCAACACAGTAAAATATCACAATGAAATATATTTCAGTATTTAGCAGATGTACACAGAGTATTGAAAATACATGTAATAAGGAAAGATTTTCTATAAAGAATTTAAAAGCACTAATAAGAAACTCTCTAGTGTTGCCTCATAATTGCTATGTAGGAATATAATAGATTTTTTGCTTTGCCATAATGCCACGTAACAACACTCCAATTCTAAATCCTCTGGGCCCCAGAAAAATTTCCCAATTCATCCATAAATGAACAATCCATAGATTTAACAGTTATCTGTAGCTGCCTATAAAAAACAGTTTAACTTTCATAAATCTAATCTATTATTGACAAACAAGAAAATGAAAATGTTTGATGACAAATGTGGATGCAGGCACATATATAATAACAATGACATCAGCAGTTTCATCAGAAATCAAATAACAAAAAACATAGCATAAAATTTCCTGTCAGTTTAACAATTATATTAGACATGACCTAGTAGATCTATACTCTAAATATTAGGCAACAGTGTCTGAGTAGGATTTGCAAACCTCCATAAATAGTCATCAGAGAAATTTTTAAAAGCTTGTCTTATACATTACACTCCCTGGAAAATTTAAATGGATCAACATTCAATACCCGTCCATTTATTTACAGTTTTTCATGATTTAGAGTAAATACAACCATTGTTAATGTGAAAATTCAACCTACTGTAAACAAACTGAACAAAATTATTTTATTATCAAAAATAAGTTAAGTCTTAGTTAAAAACTAATATCTTGCCCTTTTTGCAGTTGTTACTAACATCAAGCATTACTTATTCAAACATTCCAGTTCCACATACAAAAAAAAAAATCAATTATAAATTATACAATGTAATAAGGGCTGGAAAATAAAGTCAAACTATTTTTTTTTTCGAAAAAGTGAACAGCCATATTATGCCTACATATGAAATCTTGGTTAAAATGTGCAGTATCTACAATTACGAAGATTTTAATTTCTATTTAAACACTAAAGAAGATTGACACAAAAACAGTTATAACTATTTAAATAAAATTAAGCAATAATCTTAATTCCCACAAGAATTCTATAAACAATTATTCAACAGTGTAAAGTCCAACAATAAAAGAAATATCTAGTTATATCGTACCATAGATGACTTTAACACCCAATCACTACCATGACAAAAATTGTCTAATCAAGAATCATGCATAAAGTTTGTTTCATCAATTAAGTCATTAGAGTCTCCATCAGAATTCTTCCTCTTCATTTTCTCGTAACACTTTGACGTCCGCCATTGATACTGAATAAAGAGAATAAACAAAGGCAGAATACAGGCTCCACAGATCCCCGCTAACACGTACGCCACAATGACCAAGGTTTTGTTGTTTTTCTCTGGTTTGGCATAGGCACAGTTTCCCACTGAACCTAGACTGTAGCAGCATTCAATTAATATACAGATTCAAGAACAATGTTAAATGTACAGCAAAAGGAACTAGCTTATATGGAAATCTTAGTTTTAAGGAACTTTAACAAATCCTGACGAGGAATTCTCATTATGTTTCTTAATATATGGATATAAAGAATTTCAGTTATAAGGAAGCAAGATTTGAGGCCCCCGTGATTTCCTTATAACTGAGTTATATTGTAAAACAGAAATTGTATCAAAAACATAGCTCAAATTAAGATAAACTAGAAAACTGAGCAGTCAGAAAAAGAACAAACAAGTAGAAAGATCTACAAAAGGGTGGCTTTTGGAGATATAATTATGACAACTTATCACACAAATGCAAAAACCATTTCACAATTGAAGAAGAAATTTTGGCTCAGTAAAAATATTGATTACTATATAGATTCCTTATATTTCTTGAATGCGCGTAATTTTGCAATATAGTGCCGGAATCAATTCTGCAGTGGTAAAAAATATAAATAGCACAGCATTATGAATCCATAACAGGTGTTAGTATGCAATGGAATATGTTAACATTGTAACTCCTTAACCTGTATGTAGTCTTTGATTTGGCAGATAGCTGCTTTTTTATTAAAATAAAACATACAGTATAGGTAATCTGAGATTACACAGCTCACCTAAGGCCCAAAAAATTAATCTTTAGTTTCTCAGGCCATAAATTTCCAATTGAAAGTGGCAGGCAGGGTTTTTTTTCTTTTAGATGTTTTTCTCTTTTTTTGATGTCAATTGTTCAACAAAATGACATCAACTGATTCTTACTTTTTTTTGTTCTCTTACACTAATTATAATATGTACTCAACTTTAAACAATCTTATTCCAAACTTTTGTTTAAAAGTTGATTCATAAAATACCATGATAACAAGAAATATTTGTTTAACATCTAATAAAAACGTCTAGATCTATTAGCATGTATGAAAAGGGGAATAAATCATCACATGCAATTTTAATTTACTTCGGACTCATATTTACTTAGGAATATGACTTGCTTTTAAAACTTTAACCTTCTCCAAAAACTTACAAAACCTGCTCCAAAAAAATTTATGGAGCATATTGGCTACAAATGCAGCATCAGAAATCCGACTGGTACAATAAAACATACTAGATGCATAATCCATGAAACTCTGATCAATATAGGACATAGAAATTCATATCATCGAAAAGAAATCTGCTCTAAAAACTTTAACCTGAGACATCAAGTCTACACCAAGGGTATTATAAATAATCTCCCAAACTTACAGTTTTAAGTTACTGCATGATTACACTGTTGAGACTATAGAGTTGATCTGAGATGAAGCCTTGCATACTGACCTGAAAATTTGTGAGGACCAGACACATGTGACTTGTTAAACATCTGGGCCACTGCAGGACATGTTGTGTCTGAAAACCCAATTCTGCTGTTCTGTCGATCAAAGACCACGTAAAACCCTTCCATGATCACTGCTCCAATGACTGTGCCTGTGTTACGAGAGACATTTTGTGTTATTTATCAAAAACAACATTTAAAAAAAAAACAATAGCCCCATGGGTTTAAATAGTCACTTTATACAATATTTCATATATGCTTTCTTTGTAAAATTGTGTGGCTTCATCCCTACCCCAGATGCCATGGTTAATAAAAATCAATCTGCCTGTACTTTATCAAACAGTCATCCTTGTGATGTCACAGTTGCTCATTGACATGTGAAAGGCAAGCATAGTACTGTAATAACTACTGAACAGTACTATTCTAAGCTATGGAATGGACAAATATCATCACTCTTGCTGCAGGAATGGATTTAAAAACTTACTTCTGTCATGTAAGGAAAATACATCATCCCCTCCCTCTTTGTATGTGTTTTTCTTTTTGCACTTTCCAGATGTTGAGTTTGCAATACCAAGCTTGAAACATATTTCATCCGGGTTTTTGTCATCTTTTTTCCCAACAGATTTAATGTATTGCTGAAAATAAACATGACATAAATGGATGCATAAAAAAGAGAGAGGAAAAAAAATTGAATAGCGGTACTTTACTATCATATCATTTCATTACATACAGTCTGTGAAATGTTGTTTAAAACTTCTGTACACAGAATCAAAGATAGCCTTTAAAATGAATTAAGCACATTTTGGTAGGAAAATCTGAAATTATACCTGTGGAGCGACAATTATTTTGAATGACTGATGCTCATTCTCAGCAAACTCTAAGGCTACAAAAGGAAATATGTTGTAAGGAATGGCTCCATCTTTGTAGCACAAGTCTATGTCCCCATTCCAAAAACCAAGACTCACTGGAGGAGCATTGGGAGATTTCTACAACATATAAACAACAAAACATCAAAATAATCAAATGGTGGATTTATCTTACCTTCTACATGGTACAGAAAAACACGCTTATAACGAAGTACCAGGGAAAGACTATTTTACTTTGTTATAAGTGTAATTCTTTTATATCTGTTAAGTTGACAATGTATTTTAAGGGGATGAAGGACACATGGTCACATGACTCTGTTTAACTACGTCATAGTTTCCGTTTATATAAGTGCAAAACAGTTCTTGTATAAAATTTGACATTTTTTTTCTTTAATTACCATCTTATATATATATATTTTAAAAAGTTTTACATTCTTGTAAACATTAACAAATTATGAAAAAGATTGATCCACTCCTCTCTTTCCCTAAACTGCACGTCCAACAAGTCGGTGATGTCATACACGATCTGTTTAGTATAGCAAGATCATACTCGGTGAATACAGGGGTGGTATTATTATGTAAAAACAGGTCATAATCAGTATATGATGAAATATTTTAAGAAACGGAGAACACAAAAATTATGTTTGCATGGCTGATAACGGAAATCTTATGTAGGTATATCTTATTTTGCTTATTTAGCTTACATGTGACGTCATAGTTGGTTTTTCCCGTACTCGAGAAATGTATACATGACACGTTTTTGTCCTGCTTATGTCCTCTTTAACGATGTCCTGTGCAATATTGAAGTCAGCTTCACCATTGGAAATTTTTTCAGTTAATCAATAATTTGAAGGATTTGCATTTCAACGTTTAAAAATATTGAATGATAGAATTTTTTGTAAATTACCTTTTTTGTTGTTAAAGTTGTCTTAAAATGTACGTAATTTTCCTATCCAGATGCAGTGTGATAGAAGAAACTTGCTTTTTTGAATTTTTCATACTCTGAAATATTTTAAAAGATACATGTTCCCTTATATATTTTTATATATGCTTAAAAAATCCCTTTATGGACAAAGTAATGAGCACGGAAACATGGAGAATTAAAACTTCACTTAGATACTGTAGGGCATTGTATTTGTCAATCAATATCTCGAAGATAAGGTCAGAAACCTAATGATATAACTGCTTTAAGATATGTGGGACATACTTAATTAGAAATGTACAAAATATAAAAAAAAATTGAATGACAAGTATTTTTTCAGCTCAAGGTCCTTCTCTCCCTTATAGTCACAGGGAATGAACATAACTTCACTGTAAGCGTCAATTCATTAAAAGCCTGTTTGTTATAAGTGCTGTTTACTGTAATCAGCTGTATAAAAACATAGGTAATCAGAGATTACAGAGCTCACATCAACAAATGTTGTCTTTTAGTAAGGCAAAGTCCCACACTAAACTAATTATCTAATAGTGTGCATCCCTAGATGCAACATTTATGCAATTTTGGTCTGATAGTGCTTGCAATTACTTGGGAATTAACTTACCTAAAAACTTAAAACTAGTCACTCATCCAGAAAATGTGTCAAATCCAGCATCCGAAGAAAGTTTGAGAGTGATCATTCCTTGATGCATCATCCATGCAAGTTTGGTTCAGATAGGCCTTATAGTTTCTTGGCAATGGACCTGCTCCAAAAACTTTAACCTGGTCACTCATCCGGAAAATGTAGGTCAGATCCAGCATCTGAAGCAAGTCCAGTAGTTAGCATCCTAAGATATATCATCCATGCAAGATTGGTCAACATAGGATTTACATTTACTCGGAAATGAGATCTACTCCAAAAACTTTAACCTGGTCACTTATCTGGAAAATGTAGGTCAGACAGAGCATCTGAAACAAGTCCAAAAGTGTGCATCTTAGATGTAAAATCCATACAAGTTTGGACAATATAGGGTTTATAGTTACTTGGAAATGAGACCTGCTCCAAAAGCTTTAGCCTGGTCATTCATCTGGAAATGTAGGTCAGATCCTGCATCTGAAGCTAGTCCAGTAGTGTAGATGCTTAGATGTATCATCCGTGCAAGTTTGGTCAATATAGGGCTTATAGTTACTTTGTAATGAGATCTCTCCAAAAACTTTAACCTGGTCACTCATCTAGAAAATTTAGGTCAGATCCAGCATAAGAAGCAAGTCTAGTAGTGTGCATCCTTATATGTATCTTCTATGCAAGATTGGTCGATATAAGTCTTATACAGACCTGCTCCAAAAACTTTAATCTGGTCACTCATCTGGAAAATGTAAGTCAGATCCAGCATCCGAAGCAAGTCCAGTAGTGAGCATCCTTAGATGTATCACCCATGCAAGTTTGGTCAACATAGGATTTACATTTACTCAGAAATGAGATCTGCTCCAAAAACTTTAACCTGGTCACTCATCTGGAAAATGTAGGTTAGATCCTGCATCTGAAGCTAGTTCAGCAGTGTGGATTGCTTACATGTATCTTCCATGCAAGATTGGTCAATATAAGTCTTATAGTTACTTGGAAATGAGATCTACTCCAAAACTTTAACCTGGTCACTTATCTGGAAAATGTAAGTCAGATCCAGCATTCAAAGCAAGTCCACGAGTGTACATCCTTAGATGTATTATCCATGCTAGGGCTTACTTGGAAATGAGATCTGCTACAAAATCTTTAACCTGGTCACTCAGTTGGAAAATGTAGGTCAGATCCAGCATCCGAAGCAAGTCCAGTAGTGTGAATCCTTAGATGTATCACCCATGCAAGTTTGGTCAATATAGGGCTTATAGTTACTAGGAAATGAGATCTGCTCCAAAAACTTTAACATGGTCACTCAGTTGGAAAATATAGGTCAGATCCAGCATATGAAACAAGTCCAGTAGTCTGCATCCTTAGATGTATCATCCTTGCGAGTTTGGACACATAGGGCTTATAGTTACCTGGAAATGAGATCTGCTCCAAAAACTTTAGCCTGGTCACTCATCCGGAAATGAAGGTCAGATCCAGCATCCCAAGCTAGTCCAGTAGTGTGGATGCTTAAATGTATCATCCATGCAAGTTTGGTCAATATACGGCTTATAGTAACTTGGTAATGAGATCTGCTTCAAAAACTACAACCTGGTCACTCATCTGGAAAATGTAGGTCAGATCCAGCATCTGAAGCAATTCCAGTAGTGTGCATCCTTAGATGTTTCTTTCATCCAAGTTTGGTCAATATAAATCTTATAGTTACTTGGAAATGAGATCTGCTCCAAAAACTTTATTCTGGAAAATGTAGGTCAGATCCAGCATCTGAAGTAAGTCCATTAGTGTGCATCATTAGATGTATCATCCATGCAAGTTTGGTCAATATAGGGTTTATAGTTACTTTTTAAGGTACTAAGAAATGAGACCTGCCCCAAAAATCTTTAACCTTCTCAAAAAACTTTAACCTGCACCAAAAACATTAACCTGGTCATTCTTTAGCTGAAATTACAGCATCTGAAACATTGACTGGTATAATGAAACACACTAGAAGCATCCTCCATGCAGCTCTGATTAATATAGGGCATAGAAGTACTTAAAGAGAAATCTGTTCAAAAAACTTCAATTTTATTGGGTATTATAAAAGCTCCCCAAACTTCGTTAAGGTGAGCCTAAAAAATCATTCTTATATGCTTTGTCAAAATTTTATTAACAAAATATATGGTATTTGATGCATTGTATTTTTAAGAGTATGCTTGACATATTCCTTTCCCTTTTCCTTCTCCTCCCTCCCAAGTAAAATGATACATATTGTGATAAACTGGTTGCCATATAATCATTTTTTTTATTATTATTTATAAATTATTGCAATTCACAAGAAAGAATTCATGTTTGTACATGGTAATTTACATCAAACAGGGAAAAATATATATCTTAAATTCTTATTTTGTAAGAAATCATATTTAAAAAATTAGTTCACTGTTTTCATAATAAATCAATTGCTAATGCAATACTTGAATGATTACCACTGATTTTAATATAGGTCAAAGATAACAGTGTGCATATGATTTAGTTTTATCAGATGATAATAATTTGATTTTTGATAAAGCCACACCATCTAAGTAAACTGAACTTGTATGAATTACTGAGCTTTATCACAATTCACCAAGATGTACTGGATTACAAGTACCTTCATGGTACTTCTGTGTACATTTTTGAAAGCAGAGAGTTTGTTATTCCATGGACAAACCAATGCTACTTCTGCATCTAATGGACATTCTGATCCTGATGTATACAAACAACTTCTTCATCTGGAAAAAGTGTTAGATTCTATACTGATGGATCAGAAACAACAAGCTCTACAAATTCAGCAATTTGAACAACAGCAAAAGTTATTGGAGGGAGAGATTCAGACACTGAAGCAATGGAATCAGACAGCCCAGATAAAGATGACACTCTTAGAAAGTGAAAACAAAATCTTGAAAGAAAGACTGGACAATTTGAACACTTCATCCACTTCATCACACCAAGACGCCTGCCTGAATGAAAAACTGGAAAATCTGAATTCAACATCAACACTTTTGCTTCAAGAGAATATAATTTTGAAAGAACAGATTCAGATTTTGAACTCTACTTCCATGCTTATACAACAAAATTTGACAACATCAGAAGACTTAAGAAGGCTGGAGAACATCTTAACCTTTGAAATAGAGCAGATGGTCAGAGAAAGTGAAGAAAAAATGATGAAGAACATGTCTGCCACAATTACAGACCTGGAGTTACGAGACCGATATTTATCACTTTCTCTTCTGGACGTACACAATAACACAGCAGGATTATCATCTTCTCTTTCCAGTTTGGATGCACGGCAAAAACAAATAAAGAGTGAGATCCAAATGCTGACAAATTCACAGCAAAATGACATAACCAAACTGAATGATACAATCATCCATCTTAAGAATCGTATGTATACTCTTGTATTTTTTTTTCTCTCTGTTCTGTTCAAAAAGAACAAATGGTAGTAAAAAAGCAGGTTTCACTGAGAGCCTTATTTGGTCCTGTGAAATTCTAAAAAAAAAAAAGACAAATACATGCATATTTCATTTTAGATGCCATGACTTTACATATCACTAGGATGTTTGG